GAGTCCACGTATTTATGCACTTTCATATTTTCAAACTCAAATGGGTAAAATATGTCCTACAATCGTTTGTCCTCCTTTATCCAATGTTTATTTTCCAAAAAGTTAAAACGTATCAGTCGGTTTTGCCGGTATGCCCTCAGCCAATGTTCGATTATTTAAATACATTTGGACTTGAGTTATGAGAATTCAAATTGTTAACCCTCTATGGAGTAGGTTCCGAAGAAATGGGCCAATATTGTTAATTTCTTATCGGATCCAAATAAACTAAATATCAATTTTGCGACGTGCCAGGTTTGGACTATTTTGTTTTTGTCCTTTACTTTATATGAGATATGTGATAATTTTTAGAAAATTTTAAAATGTGTGTGAGGTACCAAATATACAGGGTGAGATAAAAAAAAAAACTGCAACAAAGTCAAAATCCATAATTTTTTAAATTTTTGTTAAATTTTATTGAATGAAAGCAAAAATGTCGGAAATAGCTTAAAATTTGGAATAAGTTTAGATTTTTTCGAATTGGTCACCTTTGGCACGAATTATGGCTTTCAAACGGCCAATGAAACCGTCACACGCTGCCCGAATGTTGCTCTGCGTTATTTTGGCCCATTCCCGGCGAAGCGCTTGTTTGAGGTGATCGACACATTGGTATTTTTAGTGCCAATCTTGCTTTCCAAAATACTCCAGACACAATAGTCCAACGGATTGGTATCCGGAGATTTTGGTGGCCATTGTGCGCTGGAAATGAAGCGAGGAACCTGATTTTGTAACCACTCTTGGGTGGCGCGTGCTGAGTGCGATAGTGCTGAGTCCTGTTAGGATGTCCAAGGTCTGCGGCCAAAATGTTTGCGTGCCCAAGGCTTTAATACACCCTCCAGAATATTTTCGCGATAATATTCGGCCTTTATTCTGATGATTCCACGGTCGATTAATACGAACGGAGAGCGACCATCAGCTGTTATGGCGGCCCACACCATCACCATGGCCGGCGTTTGAGTTCTGGTGGCCAACCGAAGGTGCACATTTTCAGCTGGCCTCTTTGGCAAAAAACACGATAATTTTGTTTGTTTACGAACTACTGGACAACGAATGTTTTCTCATCGGAGAAAACCAAATTCGGCAGTTCACCACTTTCGGCCAAACGAAGCAATTCTTTAGCTCTTTTGAGTCCATTATCTTTCTGTTGCGGTGTAAGTTCTTGCACTTTGTGGAATTTCAATGGCTTTACCCCGAGCTCATTTTTTAATATTTTTCGAATGGAATATTGTGATATGTTCAGCTCACGAGCCATTTTTCGGCCACTGCGACGCGGACTTCGATTAAGTCGCTTCTCTACTTTTCGAACCATTACTGCTGATGTTGCTGTTTTTTTCCGTCCACTTCCTTGACATCAGGCTACGCAATCAGTATCACGGTAACGAGCGACACAAAACATTTATTCACATTTAAATGCTGGAGTGCTCTAACGATTGTGGTCTTCCATCCAAATATTAAGAAATCGCACTATCACGCTTCTGGAGGTACCAGAAGAAGTTGACCAACATATTGCATCTTCACACCAGTATTTGGGTTAACAAGAATATTGTGATGTGTGTGATTTGAAGACAATCGGACTCTTACATGCCCAACGGACTGACGGACATCGCTAGATCGCCTCAAAATGTCCTGAAACGGATTTGGTCCAAAGAGACCTAGGTTCTAAAACCGTTATTTCGACTAGGCACGACAAACCGTATCATAACCTCTCTCTCGAAAAAAAAATACATGCATCAGTGCTAGGTTAGTTAAGAAAATGGATTATATCGGTCCACTCCATAAAGTACCTCCCCCAAAAAGAGTCAACATTTTGAATATTTATAACTCTTATAAAATGTGATATACAGGGTGAGATAAAAAAAAAAACTGCAAAACTGCAGTCTGAAGTTGGTTGCAGTTTTTTCATTTCACCCTGCAAGAGGCCGATTGTCTTCAAATTACACACTCACAAAGGGCCAGAGGTACCTCTCCCACAAAGGGCCAACATTTTGAATAACCAAGAAGCTCATAGAATCCGAAATAGAAATCCGGTTTTACTCATATTTCACACATCCAATTAGTTCTACTAACACAAGATCTGGTGTGAAGATGATACACATCGGCACACCCCTTCTGGTACCTCCCTCACAAAGGATCACAATTGACAGTATTCAAATATCTCCTAACATGCGAGACAAGTCAGCGACAACAAGTCTCATAAACAGGGATCTGAAGTAAATAAGGAGCCTAAACGTTTTGATTTGATATAAATGTTCAGTATTAGATGAAGTTGAATACTCCCGTCCGCTATGTATGGTATCTTACGGATATTTCATTGTAAGGTTTATTTCATACTTAGGTTAGATACGGAATGGGCAATATTGGTCCACTTCTTCGGAACTTCCCCCATAAAGAGTCAATAGTTTGAATAATCACAACGTAAGGCTGGCAAAACCGACTGATACTATTTATTTTGTTTGTGCTTTCGAAGGCAGAATTTGATTTTGTTAAAGTCTTTACTTACTTAACCTTTTCATGCATTTTGCCATGATATCTCAAAATCTCTGTCCCCACTTGGAGTTTCTCATCCCAACTATGAAAATTGGGGTAAAAATGTTTGTATCCCCCAAAATGGGGATTTTAGATAGACTTTTCTGTCCATTATTAGTTTGTTTTGTAGTTTTGAGTCTTTTCCCTGCTCTATCTCTCAAATTTAAAATGTCGTCCTGACTAAGAAATGCAATCGCTTCTTTATATATTACTCCTTAAATATTTTTTCCAACAAATTCTCACATTCGATCCACTGTGTCGCAGCTACAAAAAAAAACTCAAAAAAAATTTTTTTTCCAAAAAATACAAAAGACTCAAAAAAAAAAAAAAAAAAAAAACATTAACCAAAGAAACTATAAAAGTAAAAAAGTCACCAAAAATGAAATTTCCGCACCATGGATACAGGAGGAATTCATTGAGAAAATGTTTTGGTAAATTTAGTATATTTTTGAGAGCGGTCCAGCGTGGAACAATCAAATTTTACTAACAAACGAACTTGAAACGAATTGACAAAAAACGCACACAAACATTTTTTGTGTCAACCCAAAAACAAAAAAACCGGCAAAGTCTCACAGCGACATAAACGAAAGGCACCTTGCGTTCCTCTTCCCCCAAAATCAAAATTTAAACATTAAAAAAAGAAAAACCGGGCGGGCGTGTTAATTCTTCCCCCAGACAATTTTGACTATAATTAAAGAGTGAAGCTATTACAAGCCAAAACAAGAATTGTGTTAAATATCTTCAACGACTAGGGCGAAAGGCAGCAAATCAGTTCATCTAAGGAATTTCTTTCCCCCTAGGAAACACAAATTTTGAATATCTAAAAATATCCAGTAACCAAAAAGGCAACGACAAAGATTAATTTTTGTGTAGTTTTCTTTTTTCAATATTTCTACTCTAGACTGTGAGATTATTGAAGAGACTCAAAGAAGCGCCAAGAATAATTGTTCATGTTTTACTCGCGAACACGGACACGACAAAAAACCGAAAAAAAATTTAATGTTTTTTCCTCATCGGCGTAATTGATTGTTGAAACAACATTCATATTTCCCAATAAAATATCATAGTTGGCAACGAGCCCACCACATTGTGGCCACAACAAATAATTGACAGGAAAACGCCGGAAAACACAGCAGGCAAATATTTACTTGAAACAGAAATTCAATTGTTTTTTGCGGCGAGATAACGAAGTAATTCCGAAGTACGGTAAACGCGTGACGGTCGGTCGGTCGGTGAAGTATTTTTTTAAAAATGTTTTCACGGTTTCGTAATATTTTCTCGAAAAACAAATCGGAGGCGGACGGAAATGTCGATCTGGAAACGGATGCGGTCGTCGATGCGAATGTAGTAACAACGCGTTCGGACAATGTAGCAAGTGGAGTTGCCTCTTCTTCAGAAGAAGAGCCCAAATTGGAAGGTCTAAATTTCCTTAAAAGTTTGGTTGAGAGTGAAAGCAATCCTGCAAAAGGAATGTCAAAACCAATGGAGCCAATGGCCAATGGTAAAACAGCGGGTGCTTCCTTTAGCCAAGAAGTGGAAGACTTGCTCAATGATAAGCTTTCCGATGCTAGTAGCAATAATGAAAATCAAACTACTAGCGATGAAAACGATTCTGTCCCTGCAAAGTCGGTTTCTGAAGGTGTAAAACCCGAATCTACTGAACCTCTGGAGTCTTCTTCACAAGAAACAAATAAATCTATGCCTGTGGAAGAACAATTAGAACCTTCAAATGAAATGGATAATGTCCAAGATATTTTACATAAAATGAAAACGGAGGTTGTAACCCTGAACTATGAAACCAAGGAGACCTCTCCACTGCTCTCAGAAAACAAAACTCCTCTCGAAATTACTAACACCTTAACGGATAAATCTCCTCTTAATCCGGCTCTCGATGAAATAGACAATGCTCAGTTAAGTTCGAATGAGGACTCAATTAAAGCTCAATTAACCCTTAATTCTGAAACCAAGGAGGCCTCTCCACTGCTCCTGGAAAACACAAATCCTCTCGAAATTACTAACACCTTAACGGATGAATCTCCTCTTAATCCGTTCCTCAATGAAAAAGACAATTCTCAGTTAATTTCGAATGAAAACTCAACTAAAGCTCAAACAGAAACTGTAGCTCTCAACCACGAATCGAAAGAATGCTCTCCCTTGCTCTCGGCAAGCAATGGTTTGGTAAAGACCCAACAAACCGAAAAAGTAACTAAAACCTTAAATGAAAATTCCGAAAAATCGGAACACGAAACGCTATCTAAAGATACTCTTGGTGATAACTCTCAATTGCCCTCACCGGCTTTGGTTGAATTAATGCCAGAAATTTGCAAAACAACCAAAGTGAATTCATGGGTTGAAGAAAACAATGCCATTTCCACACCACCAACACCATATCCTTTGATTTCCACTGAATCCGCTAATAATTTAAATAACAATTCCAGTGTTGTGATTGAAGATTTACCCTCGGAAATAACTGCTCCCAGTCCCTCTATGGAGAGTTCAATATCGGGTAGCAGTAACAATACAAATAGCACCATTACCACCACCACCACTGGCACCATGGATTCGACAACGACTCGTCTGGCAACGGATCCCACCAAAATTGTTGTCCAGCCTGTGGGCAGTAATGGGCTGGCATGTTCGGCCATTACCGGTAAATTAACGGACATTGCTGAAGTGGCCGAATCACTGGATTCGGTTATTCGTGACATCCAGGAGAATTCACAGCGTGCCGAAGTCGAATCGAATGCAACGAGTCCACGTGACAAAAAATTGGGTACACTAAGGAGCACGAGTAGTGAGGTAAGTTATAAAAATAATTTATTTATTAATATCGTTTTATATAAGGAAAAATTTCTGCATTTAAAAGCACGACATATTAATTATTATTATTATTATTATTATTATTATTATTATTATTATTATTATTATTATTATTATTATTATTATTATTATTATTATTATTATTATTATTATTATTATTATTATTATTATTATTATTATTATTATTATTATTATTATTATTATTATTATTATACATTAGTAGGGCTGCTCAAAAGCATGTGCCTATTGGTATGAGCAAAATCACAAAATCGGACATTTAGATATGTATGTATGTGTGAATGTATGTATGTGTGAAATTTCTTTGATCGTTTTTTTTTTTCAATACCTTGAGCCCTATGTTGACCATCTTTATAACAGATCTTGTGTTGATAGAAATATTGAGATATACCAAATCTGAACGGAATAGGATCTTAATTTCGCGTTCTATGAGCTTAATGGCTATTCAAAATTTTGAAATAATGGGATGTGTGAAATATGAACGGAAGCGAATGCTTATTTTGGATTTTGTAATTGTTTTGGTTATTTAACACTTTTGGATGGATTGTTAATTTCGTTCAAAATTTTGACCCTTTGTGGGGGAGGTGCCAGGAGAAGTGGACCATTACATCCCATCTTCACATCAGATCTAGTGTCGGTAGAAATAATGGGATGTTTGAAATATTAACAGAACCGGATGTTTATCTCGGATTTTATAATCGTTTTGGTTATTGAAAACTTTGACCCTTTGTCGTATCGTACGGACATCGCTAGATCTACTCTAAATATCCTAGAACGGATTTGGTCCAAGGAAGCCTAGGGCCTAAAACCCTATCAAATGATATAAACCCTCTCTTGTCATATGGCCGAGGGTATAAATATGATTAATCAACGCTCAGCCGAAACGCCTGAAGCTAGAACCTTAAAATGCTGATTGAGTGTCACTGTTGGTATGAATGTATTTTGGAAAATTGTACTATAACGGTACGAAAAGTATTAAAAGATAATTATAATTGCAACCTTTGTTTTTGACGACCAATAGAGCTAAAACTCTTAATTTTGGAATGAGGGTCACTGATGATGCACCAAAGGGTTTTTTGGAAATTCAAACTATATGTGTACGAAAAGTACTAAAATTTACTTCATTTTATACCGTTTCGTATTATGTGAACCGTTAGAGCTAAAAACTTGAAATTTGGAATGGGAAGCAAAGTTGAGGAGTAGCGTCGATGTAGTGTGAGTTTTGGAAGTGTGTACTCATGTATACGAAAAGTAATGAACGGTACTAAAGTTGGAGGAACGGATGGAGCTGTATTTTTGAAATTTAAAATTAACATTACTTATATGCGTAAAAAGTACTAAATGGTACTAAATTAGCTAAAATTTCAACTTGAGTGAACCGATAGACCTGAAATCCTGAAATTTGGAATTAAGATTACTTTTGGAGTGTGAAATTGCGGTATGTAGGGAAATTTGGAAATTCGTACTTATGTATACAACATGGTACTACATTTATACAACATGGTACAATTGTATTTGGCAAACCGATTACTGTGGGAGTGTAGGATTGGGGTACGAAGAAAATTTTGGAAATTTGTAGTTATGTGTACTAAATGATACTAAAACTATAGTGAAATAACAGACTAACTGATTCATAAATTTAGCATGTAGGTCAATTTTGGTGGGAAGGGGTGGGATAAGGCTGGGTTTTGGGAAATTCAGACTAGAGGTGTACTTGAATTTCTAAAAAGCACTATATATCGCACCATTTTTCATTTTGTGAACGGATACCGCTATCATTTTGACATTTAATATAAAAATAAAAAAAATAAAAAAATATAAAAGTTTGGAAAGATTTTTTTGAATTGTGTACTAAGTGTAAGAACTGTACTAAATAGCGCTAAGTCCGGTACAATGCGGTTTGGAAATGCGGTCAGCAAGCCAACGAAAGGTACTAAATTTGGTATTACGTTAACGGATACTGTTTGAAATCTGAAATTATGTTTTAGAAATGTGTACTAAGTGTAAGAATTGTACTAAATTTGATACAATTCCGTTTTGGGAACGGAAGAAGCTGGTAATGTGAAATGTCGATATTGGGGCCTTTGTTGGTGGTAGGTTTGTGATAAAGAGGTCGTTTTGGAAATGCGTACTACAAGTGCTCGAAGAGTACTAAATAGTAGTATATTTCTTACGAATAGGCATTACTTTAGTGTATAGGATTGAGATTTGGAGGTTGTTTTGGAAATACGTACTTAATTGTACTAAAGTTGGTATTTGCGTATTAGATTGAGTTAAAGGTTTAAAATGTGGTATTAGGATTACGTTTGTGTGGTTTGGTTGATATATGGCACAGGATTCGGAAATACGTAATGAAAAGTACGATACATATCAAATAGAATTAACTTTGTTGTTTGATGTTGTGTAGGAGAAAAAAACTAGAGGTGTTTCGAAATACTAATAATTTGTTCTAAAATACAATAAATTTGGTACCATTTGGAATTTTGAAAACGTATAGTAGTAAGAACTTCATATTTGGTCGGAGCATCAATTCTTGGAAATGGGATTGATGTGAGAAGTTTGTTTCAGAAATGTGTACTACAAGTGCCCGAAAAGTATTATATAGTACTATACATATTTGGTACAATTTGGTATTGGGTGAACATAAAGTGCTTGAAATCTGATATTGGTATTAGGATCGCTGTTCATGTGCAGCTTGGACATATGTGGGTGGCCTCGGAAATATGTACCATAATTGTACGAAAAGTACTTAATAGTACTAAATTTGGTATTGGGTGAAATGATAGGGCTGAAATCCTTAAATTTGATATAAATATCACTGTTGGTGTCTGTGGTTTCGGAAATGTGTACTATAATTTTACGAAGAGTACTAAATGTGATATTGGGGGATAGGGCCGGAATCCTCAATTTGATAAAATGTGTATGAAAGGTACTAAATCGTACAAAATTTAGTATTAGGTGAAGAAATAGGACTGAAATCTTCTAATTCTCTTTCCCTCTCTGTTGGTAGGTGGTTTGGGAAATGTGTACTATAATTGTACGAAAAGTACCAAATGGTACTAAATTTGGTATTGGGCGAATAGGGCTAGAATCCTCAAATTTAATATTGAGGCTTCTGTCGGTATCTGGAATTGCAAAATGTAGGTGGTTTTGAGAATGTGTACGAAATGTACCAAATAGTACTAAATTTTGTATTAAGATAGAGTTGAAATTCTAATATTTGCTTTGAGTTCACTGTTGGTTTCAAGGGCTCACATATGGAGACATTATTAGTAGTTTTGGACATACAAATTGGATGCGGTTTCATTGTGCAATGGTTTTTACTAAAATCCTCCCCGATAAACTTCGAAATGAAATATTTTGGAGACTTTTTGTTGTGAAAGGTAAAAATGTTTCTATTATTCACTCCGAAAAAAGACAAAAACAGTCACAGTAATATTTTCCAATCGATTGGATTGTAATTTGGAATATCAGGTTAGCAATGGTCCATTTACCAAAAATATCAACACTATCCAGATTTTTCAATAACTTTAAAATAACAATAAAAATTATTATTAGCTATTCTTATGATTAAGGTTAAAAACTTCGTTTCGGTTGAACTAAATGCCTTTTTTAATTGTTTAAATACTTATCTCATTATTTATTTACATTTCAGGATTGGCATTCTCGTTCCACCGAAGATGACTCGTTTGTTACGGCCTCTGAGGGTCGCACCTCGTCCTACATGAGTTGTAACAAGAGCTCGTTTGATTACAGTGAGGGTAATGATTCGACCTTGGCATTCGACATGCCCGATGTGAATTCACCATTCAATATGTCATTTGACGAATCCGAACAGAGTTTCATCTCTGCCCAACAGGATACAAATAAAACACCAACAAAACTGTCAGATAGTGGAGATGGTCCCTTGGATGAAGAGGATCTCGAAGATCCCAGTAGTTTGGCAGATATTGAAGACTTGCACAGTGAAAGTGTAACACCGACTCCGGCAGAAACGGAAGAACTATATGTGGATAGTATACCGATTGAATCGGAAACCGAACTAGAAGTGTCGGGCATAGTCGATGCTCCCACCATGGATGTGTTGACCGAATGTGCAGCACCACCGTTATCCGTGACCCCAGAGGTGAGCTCTTCCTCCTGTTCGAAACAATGTCAAACACATGACGATGATGCTGATAATGACGATGCTTCAGCTACAACATCTTCCGCTAATAACTCGCAATCTAGTACTAATACCCTTAACACCAACTCCAATGCGACAAAACCAAATGCTGCTTGGCGTCGTAGTAAATACTATGAGAATATAACAAAACAAACCATTAAAGGGTTTTTATAAAACAAATCTAATTTTATTCAAATGCTTTGCTCGATTGTAGCGTGTAAAATTTTTGCGTGAACTTTTTCAATTTTAACCCTGAACTTGTCAATGTTTTTGTTTTTAATTTATTGTTATTTTTTTTACTAATTTATTTTTTTTGTGACGAAATTTGTTTCCATGCGTGCCACGCATTCAACCGAAGTGAGTGCGTGGGCTGGCAAGTTTTTCGTTTTTTTAGTTTTATTGTTATAATTTAAAATTGTATTTGTAAAGACAATATATAATTATTATTGGATTTTTCGCATGCTTTTTTATCAGTTTTTAATTTATTAATTAGTTTTGTTTATTTTAAACGTAATATTGAGAATTCCAAACATATGTAGTTCGTTTGCTTGTGTTTTAAAATTTGATTTTTGTTTTATTTTTATAATTTTAATTTTAAAGTTTTTATAATTTAAAAGTTTCTTATTTATATAAATGTTGCATTTAATTTAATTTACCTAATCAAACATTTTAGTCAATATTTTATTATTTAAGAGCTGAGTGTAATTTAGGAATATCATAGCAAATAAAATGAAAAATTAGAAATACATATAAATTTATTTGTAACATAAAACAATATATAACATTTATTTCGTTGCATATTTTAATTTGCAAGATAATGTTGTTTATGTCAATCATAGGATATGTTTGAATAAATAGCTCACCTATTAAAAGTAATAAGAAGAAGAAGAGGGGCGGTAGATTGTGAATTGGGATAGGAAACAAGAAAGCATACAATGTATCGGCATTTTGAAAGTTCACCTCAAGGGGTGACCTAAATAGATGGGGCTTAATTCCAAGAGCGTTTTTATTTTAAATGTTCTATCAAGGCTTCTATCATTATTATACCCTCCACCTTGAAAAGGTTCCGTTTGTATTCGTCGTAGACCCCATAACGTATGTATATTCATGATCAGAATTAAATTCTGTTGAAATCACGATACAGCCCGCATTATTTAACGTAGATCTTCAAAGTTTGGCAGAACAATTGTGTCTATGATGATTGGCATTGAAAATGATATATATCGGTCTACGTTTTAGTATAGCCCCCATATAATGGTACCTCTCAATATTCGTTGTTTTGATGATTCTTGCCACATTTTTCCACGAACTTGTCCAAAAATTGGTATTTGTAGTTCGTAATGGGTTCTAGCTCCGGTGGCGGAACATAGTATGTAAAGATCCACGTTTTCGTATAGCCCCCCTATAGCGGTACCTTTCGATATTCGGTGTTTTGATGATTTTTGACACGCGGAACATGTAACGATACCCATCGATATACGGTGTTTTGATAATCCTAGTCACATTTACCCATGAAACTGTTTCAAATTTGATGTAGTAGTACCAGTAGGCAGGTTAAGTTCGTAAATGGGCCATGTCGGTTCACGTTTTCGTGTAGCCCCCATAAAACGGTACCTACCGATATTCGGTATTTTCATTATTTTAGCAACATTATTTACCGGAATTATATAAAATTTCGTATTTGAAGTTCGCAATGGGTACTACATCCTATGACAAAAATTTTTGTATGCAGGTCAAAGTCTTCGTATAGCTGCCATATAACAGTACCTCCCATTCTTCGGTATTTTAATGATTTCAGCAACATTATTGACCGGTCTCGTTTCAAATTTCGTAGTGGAAGTTCCCAAAGGGTACTACAACCTATGGCAAAAGTTTTTGTATGCAGGTTCAGATCTTTGCATAGCCTCCATATAACGGTACCTCCAAATATTCTGCACTACAGAATATAATAAACAATTTCGTATGCAGGTCCACGTCTTCCTATAGTCCCCATAAAATCGTTTTAATTTTGGAATTTTTTTAAAATTTTCAATTTCCTTTGTAGTGGTGGAGGGTATTAAAAATTCTGCCCGGCCGAACTTATATTAACTTTGTCATTCCGTTTGTAACTCCTCGAAATACTCATGTCAGACCCAACAAAGTATATATATTCTTGATCAGCGTAAAATTCTAAGACGATTTAGCGATGTCCGTCTGTCTGTCAGTAAACACGCTATCTTTCGAACGAATTGAGATAGAAGGCTAAAATTTTGTACACATCTTTATTTTTCTAGTAGGCAGGTTAAGTTTGTAAATGTTCCATGTAGGTCCACGTTTTCATATAGCCCCCATATAACGGTACCTCCCGATATTCGGTATTTTGATAATCTTAGCGACATTATTCACCGGAATTGTGATTGTGAAATTTGGTATTTGCAGTTCGAAATGGATACTACAGCCTAAGACAGAAAATTGTCTGTGCAGGTCCATGTCTTCGTATAGCTCCCATATAACGGTACCTCCCTATATTTGGTATTTTGACGATGGTAGCGACATTATTTACCGGAATTGTTTCAAATTTGGTGTTTAAAGTTCGTATTGGATACTACAGCCTGTGACAGAAAATTGTCTGTGCAGGTCCACGTCTTCATATAGCCCCCATATAACGGTACCTCCGGATATTTGGTATATTGATGATTTTGGCGACATTATTCACCGGAGTAGTTTCAATTTACGTATTTAGAGTTCGTAATGGGAACTACAGTCTGTGAAAGAAAATTGTGTATGCAGGTCCAGATCTTCGTATAGGCCCCATATATTAGTACTCCATATATTCGATATTTTGACGAGTTTAGGTACAATACCCACCGAAATTGGTTGAGATGTCGTATTTCAAGTTCGTAATGGATGCTACTGCCTGAGACAGAAAATTGTCTATGCTGGTCCAGGTCTTCGCTCTGATATAACGCACCCCCTTTATACGCTATTTTGATGATTTTAGCTACAATATTCACCGTTTATTTCAAGTTTTCAAATTTGAATATGGTAGTGGCTTATGATAAACAACGCCTATGGCTATATTCGGTATTTTTAAAATTTTAACAGATTTTTTTAGGATTTTTTTTCTTGAAAATTTCCAAATTCGTTGCAAATGGTGGAGGGTATTCAAAGTTCGGCCCGGGCGAACTTACTGTTTTAAACTTGTTTTTTTTTTTTGGAAAGCATTATCCAAACGTTCACTGGTATGTGTAGTTCGACCCAGCCGAACCTAATATTTTTTACTTGTTTTGTTATTCAGTTTGTAATTGCTCAAAATGTTCATTGGGAACTCCAACTCTTGCCATTTTTAATGTTTCTGCCATAATTTCCAGCTGAGTGATCCGTAATTTGAGATTTATTTAAAGTATTTTTTTGAGATTTATTTAATTTTTTCCCTATAAAGCAATACATTTTTATTGTCATTCGAAAGTAGTATGTGTCGGCCGGTGTTATGTTCTTTGAATGCCTTAGACTACAAAATTATATTTTCAATAATTATGAAGTAGAACAAATCCTTAAAAGTTCTCTATATAATTCCTGGTGCTGGAATAATAGACCAAAATTCCAGTCTCATTTTTCAACACATAGACACAAATTCTAGACACATTTTTAGATTCGTTAAATTTAAAACATTTTCACGCAAAACTACCGAACCTCACAGCATGGTATTGTGCACTAATTTCGATTTCTACATTTATTCATTCAATATAATAAGCCAAATTAATAGAAAATTTATGCAATACAAACATTTAAAAAAACAAGTAAGCAAAGGCTTTAGCCGTGCGGGACCGACCATGTGATACCCTATAACACTACAATATATTGGAGGCCAAATTATGTCCAAATCCATTTGGAAGATTTCGTTTTGAACTGATGTCATAGAGCCCTGCGCAGATGTTACCCTTAGATTTTTGACCGGGGGTTATTCAAAACAATGTTACAGTTGTTTGTCATAGAATCCAATGGTCATCCAAAATGCTAGACTTCTTCGACCCATCTCTCTTCTTATGCAACTTTCCGTCGATTGGTTTCACTTGTGACCTGTAGGGCGACTGCAAAATCAGGAAATGTTTCTGTTTTTGATCCATTTCAACCAAAAACAATAGGCTTCTATTCTGACCCTATCTCTATCTTTATTTTCAATTTCGTAAGGATCGGACCATAATTGCGACCTATGGCGTAATTATAAATTAACATGGACAGACGGACATACATAGCGAGATCGACTCAGCTCGGCGAAATAGGAAGATCCATATATAGTTTCCTATGTCGGGGATCAATGTTTCGAGGTGTTACATAGTTATTGGTCCGATCAAACTTATAATACCACCAACACATAGTGTTGTAGGGTATAAAAATTTGGATAGTTGTTTTCGGCTATTTTTTGCCTCATATAAATCGTAGAGAGCATCGGATTTAAACAATGTAATATTCAGATCCTGATCTAAAATAAATAAATAGAACAGATGAAAAAATCGATGGACCGATGGGCGATTTGATACCTTTCGACAGTAAGTTTAAATTTGGAACGAATACCGGTAACTAACTAAATTTGGAATAACCATAACTCTTATAGAATGAAAAACGATTCACATTTCATTGCTTCGCTCAGCTCTAGATCTAGACCGAAGATGGAATACATCAATTATGATTATTCAAATTGTTGACCCTTTGGGCGTTTCGAAAGAGTGGGCCAATATTAGAGATATGATTATTGAAAATTGTGACCCTCTGTGTGGGAGGTATTTAAGAAGTAATTTGCCAATATCGACACCTTACACATCAGATCTTGTGTTGGTAAAAATATTTCTCTTTTTATTAGGTTATTGAAAATGTTGACCCTTTGTGGAGGCGAAACGAAAAGAGGTGGGCCGATAGATCCCATATTCACACCATATTGTGTTGGTAAAAGTATTGTAGGTTATTAAAAATTTGGACCCTTTGTGAGGAAGGTGCCAAAAGGAATGGACGTATATTGTCCAACTTCAAGCTCGATCTATGATTGATAATAATATTGGGCCAAGTCGGATACTCCCTTCGAGAGTTATTGTGGGCAACAGCTTTAGCGACTCCAAATGTCCTGAAATGGATTTAGTACAAACCGTATTTTTTTCAATGGGCCACGTTTTGGTTGTATAAAATTATAAATACGTTTTTTATATTTTTCACTTAAACTCAACATTTAAATAATACATTTAGAATGGTTTTTGTCATTCGCATTCGTAATACATGTCATAAATGTATTAAATCATTAAAATATTTACAAGAAGAAAAACATAAAAAAGAATAAATGAAAAACTTCATTGTTTAAAACAAAATGGAACATTTTTTTAATTCATTTTTTTTTGTTGTTTATTCATTTATTTCCTTTGAATGGCTCTGCCGAAAAATTTAATAAGTTGACGCACGTTCATCAACAAGACATATTTTGAATAACAACATATGCAAAGTGTAGCATACTTTAAGGCGGCTAAGAAATTTATACACTTGGAAAAACGACTCATAATAAGGTAAATGTTCAATTCACATTATGTATGAAAAATCCGAAAGTAATAAAAATAATAAAGAGAAGAAGAAGAACCGACATGAAATTTTTTAGAAAAGATGTGTGTGCTGAAGTATTCATTTTTTTTCCAGCACCAGTAGTTTGAAAATAATACGTTTTATTTAAAAAATACCAAACAAAACACATTAATTTCTGCATTTTCCA